ATAGTTATTATATTAAGGAATTATTATATCTAAGAAAAGATACTTTTATTTTATAAGCTAGGCATTTTAAGTAATAGATTACAGATTATAAAGCATTTACTATTTAAGGTTAAAAAGGCTACCTACTAATATACCTACTATAGGCAGAGATATTATAAAGGCATCTAGATAGTTGGTTTAGTTCTATATTTTAGTATTACTAATAGCTTCCTTAGTAAAAGGTGCTAAGAAAGTAGTATATAGGAGGGAAGTGCTTAAGGGCTTAGTAAAGGCCAATTGTCCGGAGATTCAGGGTAGGTAGGTAGGTAGGTAGGTATGCTAATATTTTAGAGGATGCAATAACATGAAGTTCACCATATTAGATCTATATTCTTTTCTTAAAAGAAATAACCAGGTATTGGGTATGCTACTCATGTTAAGCTGTTTACCGTCGTGAAAAGCTATAAGCATGTTTTGACAGTGAGCTGTTATCCTGCACGTTCTCAAGCTCAGGAGTACGGGAATGCGAGGAAATAACCAAAGAGGCAAACACTCGAGATGCAAAGCAACTGTACCAACAAAAGAGATCGAGTCCGAAAAAGCTTGGCTTCCTCGCCATCACGATGTGGCGGTTCTGGTCGAATCTCACTGAAGCTCCGGAGATGAAAGTGCGGAAGAGGCCACCCCGCATCCGCATCCGTGACCGTAGCCGGCCTTTTATGGGTCAGGAGGAGATTCGGGGGCTAAAAACGGATGGATGGCGGGATACCGAATAGCGACGGAAATCAGATCTGATTTGAGGCATATGAGTTTATGACAAGGTATAGTATGCAGTCATGAGACGATGGAAGTCTTACTAGGTATCAGTCACCGGTCAAAGCATTTTAGAGAAGAGGGACAAGTCCTTGCAAAGTAGAGTGTAAATGAGGCAATCTACGTACGATGTCAGAGCCTCAGTGGAGAGTCGGTCCATCTGTGGACAACTGCATCATTGATAACAGTTTCCGAGTAACAGTTTTCCCACAGTTGACGACTCCGTAGCGATAATTGGAGCCCAATTACTCAATAGCAAGTCGATTAGGTACGGTTGCTGTGGTGTAGTTGTAGTTGTTACGGCATCAGCCATCCAATCCATCTTAAGCATGTCCCCCACTTACACCATCGTCAGTATCGCATCGCATCGCATCGCCTCGGACAATGTTTCCCTAGAATGTTCCATTCTTCTCCAAGAAGACAAGTCAGACTAACTCGGTTTTCTCCCAATTGGAGTTCCTTGGAGACACAGCATCACCTTTAATTTTTCTATTTTGACAACACAGCAGCATACACCTAAAGACGGAGATTTGTACCGTAGCTGCCGTTGACTTGAAGAGGTTGGCGGCTTTAACCCCGCTCTGTGGGTGCCGAAAGAGGCAACCTTGGAGACCCCGCCTGAGGCAAGATGACCACACGCGATTGGTCTACAGCTCTAGCTAGTTCTTATCCTCCACTTTGTCCTTCTCGAGCTCTCCCCCAGTCAAACCAACACCGAACACCGAGATATGCCCCGTATCATGGACGAGGAGCTTCTCGCCCATTTGCCCATACTTTCCTCTTCGAGTAAGACCCCTCCAAGTGTGTGGTCGCACGCGTTCCCTCCTCCTCCTCCCCCTCCCCCGCTCTCTATGGCTGCGAGCGTGTTAGTTGGGACGGTATCCAGCGGGTTACAGGCCGGTCGCCGTGAATTGTACAGACCACAGACACTCAGAATAGCAGCCTGGCCAAGTACCTGATAGAATTGACAGCTCGATATTCAATGTCCGGTCTCGTTACGGCTGCCAGTTTCGGTGCTTGTCGCCTCCGCAGAGAACCTACCGAGATGGAGAATGCTTCCAGACTTTGACGCCCACAGCCGATAGAGTACTCCATAACGTACACTCATGGGACCCCCCCCTCAGATGCCGACACCTTCGGGGTTCGCGGGATCGATGGAGATTCGCTGTCTGAGAGACACCGGCTCCTGCCCGTGCCACGGTTCCAGTTCCGTTCATGGCGAGAACGCAAGCATTACAGCGCAGCACTACGGTGCTTGTGCGAGTGCGTGAGACGTGGAACCTTGGCTGTGCCATTATTTGTCTTGTGTCTCTAACTGTGGAGAGCATGCCTCGTTGTAACAGGCTCGATCAGACGCCCGTGTCCGTTACTTGGTGACAAGATACATAGCCATGGCGCGTTCATTTCCAGAGCATAAATATCTAGCATTGGACCCTCGATATCCTGCTTTCTCTCCTCCTCACTCTCATCATCATCATCATCTTTCTTCCTTCTCCTCTTACTTCTTTCTCTACCCAATAAACCCTTCTCACAACCGCCAAAATGGTAAGCATTCCTCTTCATCTATAGCTCTATATCCTCTTGAGCCTCAACTAACACATCAAACAGGTCAAGGTTCTTGCAGTTCTCTACGACGGTGGCCAGCACGCCAAGGATGTATGTCTTTACCACTTTCTTTATTCCAACCCAATTCCTCTTGATTCTCTGTCAACTATCTCCAATGGTCGTTGATTCTACCTCTCAACTCTCATATCTACCGGCAACCACAAACAACTCCCCACACACCATCCCTCCGCGCTTGTCGATCTCAAACGCGGGGAAATGGTCTCACTACATGAGAATCAGCCACTTCCAGCCCAATGATGCGGGGCAACGTCTGGGCAACCTGCAAAGACATCGAGAAGTGATAGTTGGGTGGCATTGTTTAGCTTGTGCCACTCTTGTGGTATACACTGCATGGGTCTGAGCAACAATGCAACCCAAATTACACCCAGTGTCTGAACACTGCATCACCAACCCCTCACCTCAGTCACTCTTCAAATCACTTCTCCTTAGCCAATTGGTTTCATGACAACTAACCTGTCTCATAGCAACCCCTCCTTCTCGGTACCACTGAGAACGAGCTCGGTATCCGCAAGTGGCTCGAGGACCAAGGTCACACTCTCGTCACCACATCTGACAAGGACGATGAGGGTTCCACCTTCGACAAGGAGCTCGAGGATGCTGAGATCATAATCACCACTCCCTTCCACCCTGGTTACCTGACCGCTGAGCGTCTTGCTCGCGCCAAGAAGCTCAAGCTCGCCGTCACTGCTGGTATCGGCTCTGACCACGTCGACCTCAACGCTGCCAACAAGACCAACGGCGGTATCACTGTTGCCGAGGTCACTGGCTCCAACGTCGTCTCCGTTGCTGAGCACGTTCTCATGACCATCCTCGTCCTTGTCCGCAACTTCGTCCCTGCCCACGAGCAGATTGAGGCCGGTGACTGGAACGTTGCCCACGCTGCCAAGCAGGAGTTCGATCTTGAGGGCAAGGTTGTCGGTACCGTCGCTGTCGGCCGCATTGGTGAGCGTGTCCTCCGCCGCCTCAAGCCCTTCGACTGCAAGGAGCTCCTCTACTTCGATTACCAGCCCCTTTCTCCCGAGAAGGAGAAGGAGATTGGCTGCCGCCGCGTCGACACCCTCGAGGAGATGCTCGCTCAGTGTGATGTCGTCACCATCAACTGCCCTCTCCACGAGAAGACCAAGGGTCTCTTCAACAAGGACCTCATCGCCAAGATGAAGAAGGGCTCTTACCTCGTCAACACTGCCCGTGGTGCCATCGTCGTCAAGGAGGATGTTGCTGCCGCTCTCAAGTCTGGTCACCTCGCTGGTTACGGTGGTGATGTCTGGGACCACCAGCCCGCTCCCAAGGACCACCCTCTGCGAACCGCCAAGAACAACTGGGGTGGCGGTAACGCCATGGTTCCTCACATGTCCGGTACTTCTCTGGACGCTCAGATCCGATATGCCAACGGTACCAAGGCCATCATCGACTCTTACCTCTCTGGCCGCCACGACTACAAGCCTGAGGATCTTATTGTCCACCAGGGTGACTATGCCACCAAGGCCTATGGTCAGCGTGAGAAGAAATAAATGTTTTGAGAAAATGGAAGAAATGATTTGTACATGATGATGAATAGTTTTACAACAACTGCATTATAGACGCGGGTCAAAAGTAATCAGCGTTGCAGATAATACAATTTGTTAAAGTTCTACCTCTTTTTGTCTTGTCTTCAGTGATCCCATTAAGATGCCATGAAATGTCTACCTTGATCTTTTGAGCTACCAATTATTTTACTTGATGATCTCCATCAAATGGGACTAATGTTTGGGGCAAAGGCTAAATTTATCCTGATCCTTTTAACATATGATAAATACTTGCGTAAAAAAAGGGCGATAGTTAACATAACATATAGATGAATCACTTTTGGCAAAAGAAATTACATGTGTCCTATCTTTTGATTCCCCTTGTTAGTTCCTATAATCGCTCAACAATGTAGTAGTCATGGAGCTGTCTGCATGTCAACAGCCATTTTACACATTCACTCATAATGACAACAGCCAAAATGAAGCCAAGCAGAAATGTTCTGCTGTTCTTTGTCTTTTTGCCTTGCTATCAATACAAAATTTCTCGCTATTTTTGGTATGCTTCGTTATGAGCCATCAAGCGCTATATGGCTGACCATAATTTTACCATTCATGACATGAATTCGTTGCCAACTCTCCCGATCCATGCTGTATTTTCCAATCATTTCCAGAATTGCCACCACTTCTTTTCCTCACTGGGCTGTCCTCTCCGTCTCAATACCTGCTCATCTCGCCCTCTAATACGCCAGAAATAAACAGGCACACCAGCTACCACGAAGAATACGACGGCGATAGTCTGGAAAGGCTGTGCAAAGACAGCACGGCTGAGGAGGAAGAGACTAACGCAGCAGAAAATAATGGGTGTCGTGATCCACGTCTTGTACGGTCGTACGAGTCCTGGCTCTCGCACACGTAGGATGATCAGACCCAGGACTGTGAGGAAATAAAATGTGTAGCCTGCAACGCCATAAAAGGTGACGAGGGTGCTGAACTCGCCAACAACTACGTAACCAACTGTAAGGACAGCGTTGAGAATGAGTGCATAGACTGGCGTATAAAACAGTCCAGCATCTTCATCGCCAAACATTCTTCGCATCTTACGCGTGAACCAACTTCGTGTACGCTGCGTGCTGAGCTCGTGCTCGTGTGGGCTGCCCCCAATACCAATAGTGCCAAAGATCGAAGGAATGTAGCCCTCTTTGCCAGCTACATATGCCAAACGGCTAGAGGTGAAAGTCGAAGAGTTGAGGGCTCCGAAACAACTGGCGCTAACTATAAGTGCGAGAATGAGTGAGCCTACGGAACCAAACACTCGGTTGCCAAACATGACAGCTACTGTATTGGACCCGTCCATGCTCTCGAGAGGTAGGACAAGGAAGTAGGCGATGTTAGCTAGCACATAGCAGAGGATGACGAGAGGCATGGCTGTGTGTATAACTCGGGGTAGGTCTTTAGTTGGGTTCTTGAACTCTCCAACGACGTAGTTTGTCTAGACTAGGTCAGTAATCGAGACTTGCAAATTTGACTGATGCCACTCACATTGTCCCAGCCATCATATGCCCAAAGACCGGCATAGAGGGCTAGAGCCCAGGCAGACATGTCGGTCGATGTGTTTTCAAACAGCTGATGCGGCTTCCACTCAACTTCCGACTTGCCCTTGAGCGTCTTTCCTGTAATGGCAACGACAACGCCAGTAACCGTGACGCCCAGCAAAGCGATGAATTTCAGGAACATGAGCGTATCGTTCACACGCGTGCCGAGCTTCGTAGACACACAGTTCAAGAACGTTACAATGAACAGTCCTACAAGCGCAACAGCCTTGTTGATCCAGGGGCTTACGTGCTCGGCGTCAGGACCGATGAAGGCTCGAACAAAGTATTCGCCCATGATGATGGCGATGATAGCGGCACTACCAGGCTTAAGAACCAACATGGCAACCCATGTAAAGAGGAAGCCTATCACCTCGCCAAACGTCTTGGCCAAGTAAACTTGAGCGCCGCCATTGAGAGGGATCGCTCCTCCGAGCTCAGCGTAAGACGCAGCGCCTGTCCAAGCGAGTATACCCGCGATAATCCAGACGAGTATCGCTGCACCGGGCGACCCAACTCTTGTGCTCACAGATCCTGGCGAAGAAAAGATCCCTGAGCCGATAATAAGTCCCACAATCAGCGACAATCCGTTCAAGTATGTCAAAGTCTTGTTTTTCTCCAACGACCCTCCTCCCAAGCCGCCGCTCGGTCTCGATCTTGATGTTGGTGCTCCAATGGGAGCGTAACCTTCGGCACCAGCCGTAGAGCTTAAAGGGAACATGTTGGCAGAGAAGTCAAAAGCTGAGGATACTGAGTAGGATCGATTCATCCTGTTTGCAGGATTGGCACTGTCGAGGGGGTCATCTTGTTCGAGCGACAGTCTCCGCGACGACGATATGCTGGGCCTTGACGAGATCTCTGTAGCCCCCTCTTCGTTGAGCTGACTCGAGCTAGCCAAGGAAGCGAGTTCCAGCGAGTCTCTCGTATTCGACGGGAGTCCGTAAGGCCGCGCCATTGTGGTGTCTGTGTAGTTGTCCTTTCCCCCTCTTCCCAGCCACTAGTTAATCGACCAATCCGCCAAAATCGAGGAACCAAGAGTATTCAATTCGTGTATTTCAGCTGTTAAAGACCAATGCGCATCGCGGTTCGTTGTCGCGCAAATTTGGAATGAATGTGTTGAGCGATCGACGGCCGAAGGATGTGAGGAAGCAAGATCTGTGACGTAGAGATCTTGGTGGTCGGTAGTTGTCTTTGAAGCGTTTTTGAAGCAGTCGAGGTTAAAAAGACGGGGTATAAAAGCACAATTAAGAAAGTATTCGTATTCGTCAATAAATTGAGTTATTGATTGAATATTGATTGCTCATGAACTCTCTTCTTCATTCAATACCAAAAAGGGGCAATGTTTGCTTCGTTATAGTGGAACAGGACAAAGAAAGAGGGCCAAGTTGAAAAGATAGGAGTCGACTTTACCCAACTCATCACAAGGAAGCTTCTTTGTCAATGCAAGTGCTGCTTCGCTTTTCCCTTCCGCGTATAGATCAAAAACCGATTCCCACTCTAAGGTAGCCCAGCCCCTTGCTCTATTCGGTGGAACCCAGCCACTTGCACCGCCATACTGATTAGTCACTTCGTTTACCGTTAACGTCAAGTCCATGATCATCGCCTTTCCAACAACCCTTCCAAAAAGCACTATAACACCATGGGCTCCGACGATTATGCTGCTGTCGGTGGCGGTGGTGCCCTGAAACTCAAGGGTGCCAAAATACACAAGAAAAAGAAGAAGCGCGACAAGACCGATCTTGAAAAGAACCTCGATACTGGAAACAAGGACGAAGAGAAGAGAATGAAGAAGAAGAGCGAGAATGGGGAGGAGCAAAAGCCCCACGATGAGGATGAGGAGGACAAACCCGAAGTTCAAAAGACGGAGGCTCAAAAGCGCCACGAAGAGATAAAAAAGAAGAGGGCTAGTCTTCCATTCCCTTCTATTATTGATCTCATGCTAACAAGTCTATAGCTGCTCAAACTCGCAGAGTCTTCAAGCTCGCGGCCAGAACTCCTCAAAACACATAAGGAGCGTGTCGAAGAACTCAACACTTACTTGTCCAGACTGAGCGAGCACCACGATATGCCCAGGATTGGCCCTGGTTAAGGATGTCAGGTCAGGAGGCTGAGTTGGTGGCGAATTTGTGTAGGCGGATGGATTGGAGTTGCTGGCGCTTTTGGTTATACCCTCGAATTGAACAAATATTCCCACAAATGGCATCTATTGCATTGACCTACGGCGTTATCAGAATCGGTCACGCCTGGAGGCGCGTAATGTTCACCCCTTGCTGAGCTCAAGGAACCAAGGCCCTCTGTCAAAGAGAAAAGGGCAAGACCACTACGCACAAGATGACTACATCGATTTGTTTGAAAGGGGAGAATAAACTCGAATATGCAAACTCAAATGCTTGTATTCGCTCATGTACTATGCATTTTTAAATACGATCCATGTTCGGCATATATGCTGGACGCCATTAATGAACCAAATCTCCCCCAAGATACAACCCGTATGTGGAAGTTCTTGTCTATTGATTAATCCCGTCTGATGCTGCCCCCAAGTCTATTATCCTGATTTTATACCCATGAAGAAAGGACCGTGATATTCATAAAGATGAACCCATTCTGAAGTAACTGGTGCCCGCAACGGGACCACAAGTTCGTTCGCCACGGGATCCGCGTGACATTTTCGCTGGATGTAAGGTGAGGTCGAGGTGTCAATAATCCATTTACAGGAGAATGAAACCACCAAAGACCATACCCACGACTGCGCCAAGAACTGAACCGACGGATCGAGGAGCGGCGTTCTGAAGGTCAGGGCTGCCAGCAGTAGCTTCGGCCGAGGGGACAACTTCAACCCAAGAAGTCGAAGTCAGTGTTGTAATGCCACCATCTGCAAGCGTAGAAGTGAAGGTCTTGGGCACAGCACTCGAAGTTCGTCTGGTACCTGTTCCAGTCACAGTGCTTCGTTCAGACTTGGTCTCACTCGCGCTTTCGGCATTGTCTGAGGTTCGTGAAGCCTCGTCTGTCCGAGTTGTGGTTTCCTGATCTGTCCTGATGTTAGCATATACGCTCAGACGGTAGCCGTTTGCAAAAGTGTGTAGTCAACGCGGAGGCAATCAATGGTCAAAAGACATTTTCAATTTTTGGCGCACTTGCGAAAGTCACGAAGTCGAGGCATCAGGTTGTGGAGGTGGCACGAAACAGCAATATCACAACAGGTTTGGGGAGTTGGATTCGCAGCAATGTCCCTGGAAAGAGCCCTATTGCTGCTCGTCCGTCCCACATACCGGTAGTCGTCTCTGTCTCCTCTGAAGCCTGGGAGGCTGTTTCCGACTCTTGAGTTGGCCCGGAAGCTGACTCAGAAGTTGAATCGGAGATGACAGTGGTAGCTTCGGCGACAGTGGACGAGGGAACGGTGGCAGATTCGATAACAGTGGAAGTATCATCAAGGGCGGTGGATTGAAGGGTCTCACCCGAAGAAGCCGTCTCGGACGGTGATTCAGAAAAAGAGGAGGTATCAGGCAAAGAAGTTCTTCGAGTAGACGTACTGGCAGCAGTGGAGGTTGCAGCACTAGGAGCAGAAGGATTGGAAGTTGAAGCACGAGAAGAGGGAACAGTCTCAGAAGGTTCCTCTTCCGAAACGGACGTACCAGTGGCAGTGGCCTCGGAATCATTGGTGGTCGATTCAGGGGAAGAGTCCTCAGTGGACGAGGGTCGGTTTTCCGTGGTCCTGCGGGTGGTTCGCTGTGTAGAAGCAGCGGCTGTGGATGCAGGCTGAGTAGACTCCTCTTGAGATTCCGTGGCAGAAGCAGATGCTTCAGTAGCTGAGTCCTCGGTAGGTTGGGCAGTGGCAGAAGGTCGGTCTGTATCCGGGTTAGAGGTGGGCTCCTCAGGTTCTGAGCTCGCAGGGCGCGAGGGTGAGGAAGGCTCACTGGTGGCAGATGGCTGAGTAACTGACGGTTGAGCCTGGGTGTTTGAGGCCTCTTCTGTGGCGCTGGCCTGGTCGGTTGACTCTTCAGCGGTAGCGGAAGGCTGAGCAGCAGTCTCGCTAGCACCGTTTGTGGGCTCATCGGCCGTAGCAGTGGGTTGCTGTACGGTGTTTGAAGCACCACCAGAGGCTCCGTCTGAAGAGCCGCCCGAGGGAGCATTGGAAGCGCCACCAGAAGCGGCATCGGTAGCTTCAGTGCCCTGCTCTGAATCGGTAGGTGCTGGTGTGTTTTGTCGTCGAACCATCTGGGCCATGGAATCGGAAAGATTTGGTCGATGAGCGTTCATGCCATGCTTTCCAACATCACCATGGCGGAGATGTCCAGGGCAGAATCGGGTAGCGCCTCCAATGGATGCTACACCGACGCCCAGAAGACAGCAAGCGGCCAAAGCAATCAAGGCCTTGCCAGCTGGGGATATCCTTCTGGTCTTTGTCCTTGGGATGGTCTGGGCAGATTCCGAATCCTGGAGTAGTGCTTCCTTTGACGACATGGTCCTCTCTTCTCGGTCAGTGCTCAACAATCCTGCCTCCATGCTGTAGTCGTTCTTGGTGTCGACAGATGCCATGATGTAGAAGTGAGTGAGGAGGTTTTGAAGGAAGGGAGAAGGTTGAGTTTTGTAAGTTGAGCAGGGTGATATCAGGACTGAAGAAGACTGGAGACGGATATGCAGAGGACCTTTAGCGGCTGAGAATAGTCCAGAATTGCGGACCCAAGACAGATGGCAGCTTTTTTTGGGTTTGCTATTTGGGTACGGTGCGAGAGACGACTGGCTGAGAGCAGGTGGTGAAGCTGAGGAGGCGAGATCCCAGACGGTGAGTGGTGAAGACAGTGCAGCAAGCAAGCTAGGGTTCAAGAACGTGCAGACGACAAGCCGGCCAGAGGGGTGGTTCCCTTTATCGATGATGATGAAGAGTGTCGTGTGCCAAGCAGACAGGAGGTGGCTCTAGCGTACGAGAGAGGAGTCTGCTCGGTTCTATGAATGGAGACACAGCTGGTGATGTGAGGATGAGAGAAGCAAAAGGGACCAAGAAAGCGAATGGTGTGCCGCCTGCCGGTAGTACTGTAAGCAATTGGCAGTCGACCGAGGCGTAGGCGTTGCGGAGTGTGAGCGAGTACCTAGGCGAGGGAGTGGAGGCAGTGGAGGCAGTGGAGTGAGTGATGGGTGTTACACGAGCTGAGTCCGTCACGTCAAGCCAACTGCGAGATTGAACTCAAGTTCAGGGCGAGGAAGAGGAGAGTTTGGTGTGAAATGCGGCCTTTGGTGGTGAATCGTGGGTAGATGAGGGGATCTGTTCTGTCCTGTCCTGCTAAAAGCCCCGAGACCTAGACCTAGACTAGGTAGTCTTGGCAAGAGGAGGCTGAGCTGCAGACAACTATCACAATGACCCAAGTAAGCTATTTTCTTATTTGCTGCTATGACTTTTGTTTTTTGTCTGCTGAGTGGCAAAGGCCAAAGGTTGTTGGAGATCTAGACAAAAATCGCTATGCGTGTTTCTTTTTTAGGCTTGGGGGAAGCCGCTTGCAGTTTTTAACGACAGCCACCCGGGCACTAGACTAGTAGACAAAAAGCTAGGCCCTCGTCTAGCGCTTCTGTCGTCCCGCCAAGTTCAGCCCGCGGCCGGCTACACCTCCGCCGACTAGAAACCCAGTCGCAGAGACCAGAGAGAAGGGTAGAAGGGCCCGGGGAGCCTGGAAGGGATGGGCTTTGGTGGAGTTTGGGTGCCCAAGGGCGGCTCAACAAGGCCTGTCTGCCTGTGTAGCCCTCATTTCTCGACAGTAAACACAGTGGAGGTCAGTCCAAGACATGAGGCGTGCTGACTGCTTGACCTGAAGTTGACCAGAGATGAGCTGAAGCGCTGACTGTCTGATAACAAGGGCACAACTGCTCATTCTTGGAACATGTAATTGCTGTAGAAACTTAACAAAGGTTTCAGCCATTGTTTAGTAATTTTTGGCCGATACAAGCTGGGTCATCAACAGAAGTCGGTTGTCACAATTCCGATATACCACCTTTGGTATGGTTGGGTATTGGTTCTTGGTTACAGGTGTTTGTTCGGCTTGATCACCATCTAAACGGTTGCACGAGTATTTTTGTCGATAGGGCCACCGTTACCACATCCGTTGACCCCTGGCACCTGTCCTTTCGCCGTTGCTCAGACGGCGGCGCCTCATCAACCCGTACATACGCCGCCAAGATACGAAGCTTCGTGAGCTTTGTGATGTCACTGTGGATGTAACGGCAGACGGACGGGCTTGAATAAGAGGAGCATTGTGTGATTGTCTCCGTACGAGCCCATCGTCCTGCTCTTCGTATTCTTTAAAAAGCTCCTGAGACCCATGGGAAGTATGTATGTATGTATGTCATGTCAATTGGCACATTGGTGAGGGATGGTAGAGTAGAAGGGCAAGAAGGGGTGAGAAGTCGCGTCGTTCCCAGGTGAATACGAGGAATCGCCATACATAAAAAGCTGAGCATAGAGGCGGGTCAACACTTCGGGCCCAAGCCATTGGTCCCAAGATGATGCTTTTTTTTGCCCGCATGGCCCCGATCCTCATTCCATGTTTGACCCACCGGGTTAGACCCCTGAACCCTGCCCCTGACCTTGGGTGTTGTCTTTCCATCTTCATCTTCTCTTATCCAACCCTTTTGGAGCATTGGTCGTGTCTTGCAACTTGGGGCCGCGATTGTGAACGCAATCAATTGACCTGGTCTGGCGTAAATGTACACCACAGCAGTATGATCGCCCATGTGCAGCAATGATGCATATCGACCGTCGAGCAACTTGTCTGCTTGAAAGTCCTTGCTGATGTTTTGCCATGAAGCATTGTTCCATGATACGCCAAGTTAAGACTTGTAATGGTTGCTCTTAATTGTCGTGATAAGCGACCAGGTGTGATATCTTTCAACTCTGAACTTGATTTTTTGTGCCAACTTCTTTGTCCGTATGATGGATCGACAAATTCACCAACTGCGATGGCGATGGGGAATTTCGGTTGATCCTTATTTTTGGTGCTTTTTTGTCATGAGATGGAGAACGGAAACGCGCACAGTCCTTGGCTCCGGCGGCGTGTCCGTCCAAACAAAGTAAATTTTGGTGCCAAGCAGATATGATGTATGCAACCGGATCTGGCGGCTCAACAATTCTGTGTCAGGATTGAATTGTTATTGACCGTTGATGATCAGTTGCTGCGACATGATGCTCAGCCAATATCGTGTCATTCATTCACAAAGCTCCACGCGGCCTATCTCGTTACCCGTAAAGTCGATTCCGCCAACGTGGACCAGCGCATCTGAAAAAAAGAGAATGGCTGGCACAGATGATCTTCCATTGGGTCGTATGCAGCCATGTTTACGCTGTAACATCAGCTGTAACGATTGACCAAATCGCTGTTCGAGTCACTACACCCAAATTCGGAGGATGAAACTCCAGCCTTTTGTGAGAGCAGAAATATATACCAGTTGTGTTTTTGGATGTCTCCTCTGAATGACGGTAAGCCAGCACCCACACTTACGAGATGTGTCTTGGTTGTGAGACGCTCCAGTGCAGCCATAGAGGCCTAGTATCAGTTCTCAGACCAACCAGAAACCACAATCAGAGACAATTTGCTGTCAAAGTGTAACTGTCTCAAGACAAGCAAGTAGCATGTTTGACTTTTAGGTCTTAGATCCAACTCTTAGCCCAATTGGATTGCGATTGTGAGCTATGACTTGCGGTATAAAGATAAAGTAAAGTTTTCAACCGATTTTATGATCTCGCGAGAGTTGGCAATGCCAAATGGCTTACTCCGTACTGTTGATGAATCGGCGGATATAGTTTGTAGACCATTCATCCGATATAATCAACGAGGTCCAGTTGACACATGTACTCCGTGTCATCCTTGCACATGCTGGATAGTTACCTCAGACTACCTTACCTGTATGGCCATCCTGGACCTTCAGCACACGCAGGCAGGCAGTGCAGCAATCTGTATTGAGGGGAGGGCGTGGGGAGACAGCTGAGGGTCCCACTGACTGGAGGTTGAATGTATGTCTAAATTTAGACCACTCGGAAGCCCCGGTGGTTCGATCCGTCAGACGTGCGATACGATCTGATTGACAGTGAGTGACACTCACTGTTCTGGTGCTACTGAGTTATCGGTATCGTCATTTTCCATCTGTAAACGAGACAACTTTGTATGTTTTCTTCACATGCACCTAGTAAAGAAGGTTATGCATGTGATTTTGTTTCGTTGTATCTTTCTCCTGCGCTCCAAGGGATAAAAACACATTTGAGTTTGTTATCTAATTAGCCAAGGGATAGAGTCAAGGAGTCTTACTGAGCAAGGTGATACTCAGCGACGGCACTGGAATGTTATAATATCAGGATTCAAAGCATATAGAAATTGGTAAGAAACATCAAGGGAAATTTCAGATCAAAACAACTGGTTGGATCCATCGAGTCCTTTATTTTCATTGAATATTTGCCTCATTAGCAGCTATAGGGTATTTCTGTCGACTCGATCAATTTGATCGTGAATTTGTTGAAGCTGGATGAGGTTACCTGTATAAGGTATGATAAGGTATTGAGCCCCTCTAGGGGAGGTAAGAAAACTCAAAATCTTTGATGATAAGTGATAAAAAGACTTGAGTAAATCTGGTATAAGCTTAGGAGGATTCTTGCCTAATTACTTTTAGCACTTGAGCACCAGGTCCAAACTGTTCTTGCTCCCCAAAGCCACTATCGATTGACGTGGCTCATGAGTGGCCGTGCCTTAATCATGCATGCTGACTGATTGAAGTTAGCTGACGAAACGCCAGATGGACAAGTCCACTGTCACATGTGGACGAGAACAGATGCTCGAGCTTCTTCCAACAAAACCGACGACGTGGAGATAACTCCACTGATAGGAATAGTCTCCAATTCAAACCATTCTCACTCTCGTTATTGATCAATTTGGTCCATTTGTTTGCGACAATCTCCTTGAAGCGTGTTTGAGGCGCATACGCAGCCCTGTTGTCTTCCCATGATCGATATCGAGGTACCTTGAATATCCTCGTCATGACAGAGCATCTCAGCCCCGACTCTTTAAATACCCTCAACCCCGACGAACAAGACAGCCTTCGAGTTCGATCGCGATCGCCTCACCCGTACCATCACCAGAATACAGATCTTCCGCATCTCTCGGATCGTTTTACACTGAGGAACCGCCAAGCGCAATCCGCCAAGACCAGTGACGATGCTCCCCACGAACCCTCGCCTACGACATGGCCAAGTTTTCTCAAGGACTCGCCGCAGACGAGCGACAGTGGCTCCGAAGCTGACGACGAACATTACCTAAAAGGCTTACCGGCGCCAAAGGCCAACTTGCACAAAGGACTAAGAGGTCTCAATGAACCGTTGTCTGGCTCTTCAACACCTCTTCCGTCACCAGCGCTTCTTGATGGTCATGTCATTCGCACCGTAGACAAGCCGCCCATGCCTACCGAGACACCGGAAACGAAACGTCTGCTCGAAGCCCTCAAGAAACGAAGAAGAGTCGTTGTTCGACGCATAACTGAGGCTGGCATTGTTTTAGCGCTGGGTC